GATCTCTGGTATAATTTCTGTCACCAAGACCGACCCTGTTTCCCTACTACTGATGCTTTTTGTTTCCAACTTTCACATTCCAATCACCAGTAATTACCAATATATCTTTATTGCATGTTTGGTGAATTTCCGATTGCAGAAGTTGATAAAAATCTTCAATTTTTCCATCTTTGCCTTTAGTGTTTGGTGCATAAATTTGTATAATAATAATACTGGTCTTCCTTGTGGGAAGCTCTGGTGGCATAGTGCCTAAGACATTTGGCTGCTAACCAGAAGGCTAGTGGTTCAAATCCACCAGCCACTCACTGGAATGAAGGTTGGCCAATCTACTTTGTAGTGATATTGTCTTGGAAACCCAAGGAGGGGTCGCTATGAGTCAGATCTGACTCGACAGCAGTGAGTTTGGTTTGGTGGTTTTGGTCTTCCTTGTAGGGGTATGGATAGCATTGTGCTTCAAGATAGATCTTGAAATGTTCTTTTTGACAATGAAGGGGACACCATTCCTCTTCAACAAGTAATTCCTGGCATAGTAAACCATAGGATTGCCTGATTCCAGATGGCAAATGCCAGTCCATTTCAGCTCAGTAATCCCTATGACATTGATCTTTATGTATTCCCTATCATTTTAGACAACTTTCAATTTTCTGAGATTCATACTTTCTACAGTCCATATTGTGATTGTTCATGGATATTTGCAGGTGTTTCTTTTCATTTTGATTTATACCCCACCAGCAAATGTAAGCTCCAAAAGCCATAAGTTAGCCAAGTCATTAAGGTCATCTCTACTTTGACAAGACAGCTCTTTTACAGTTATATTTTGAATGCCTTCTAACCTAAGGAGCTCATCTTCCAGAACTACATCAGACAATGTTTCACTGCTAATCTTAAGGGTTTCAATGGCCAATTTTTAAAGAAATGTACCTGGCCAGGTCCTTCTTTCTACTCTGTCTTAGTCTGTACCTCCACTGAACCTGTTAAATCATGGGTGACCCTACTGATATTTGAAATACCACAGCAACAAGCAAGCCACCACAGTATAACAAACTGACAGACAAGTGGTGGATGCAAATAGATACTACTTGGTAATTAATGATAACTACTAATACAAACAAGAGCATGGATGAACCTAAGACCTATTATGCTTTTAGTTATTATTTTAAACTTATACTTACTTGTGAATGATGTTTTAACTATGCATAGAAATCTAAGTGTGCAGTTATATTTCCTTAGCAATTTTGAAATTATTTCTTTCTTGTCCTATTATTGTCATTGAAAATTCCATTGTCATCTAATTGTCTTTACTTAGTAAGAAATCTGTCTTTTATCTCTGGGAGCATTTAAGAGACTTTCATTATCATTGATATTCTATAATTTCAGTAGAGTGTGGGTTTCTTTTTATTTTTGTTGATCAATACTTGGAAACTTGTGCACTCTCTCTTCAAGCATCATTAAGCTCACTGGTGGCAGACAACAGTAATATTGAGACACACATACACATACCCCTCATTGGATTGTGAAGGTTCAAGGAAGGCAGGGTCTGGTAGTTGCAGACTCCATTTAATGCAGCCATTTGAATTGAAATAGTCCAAGTTAAGAGGATCATGAGGGGCAGGAAGGGAAGCAGGTATCAGCATCCAACAAACACCACAGAACACATCTTATGATCTGGGGTAGAGGAGCAGCCTTGCTAGATGCCCTTGCTTCCTGATCTTGATACTGTGTATTTAATCAGCAGTTTAGAACTAGGCCACCAATGTTTCCCTTAGAGGTAGAATCAAAATCTAGGGCCTTAGAGATTATTTAGTGAGAGAAGAGTATAGGGAGTGCAGGTCAGGGAACATGCCCAAGAGGATTCATTATCATCCTGTTTCCTGGTCCGGAATTTCCAGGGGAAGTCATTTCAGCTGAGAGGATCAGTTCTTCTGAACATAGGGGTCAAACAGAAGTACATGGAAGAGGTAATAGGATAGGGAGACAGTATAGTATTCCCAGGATAGGCCTTGGCTCACTGTTGGCTCCAGGGACAGGGAGGCAGGCCACTGCAGGGTCTCTTTGGGGCAGCTCTTTCAATATCTACTTCCCCCTGTTTTTATCTTCACTCTCAGACACAACACAGTAAATAACAGTCTGAGGATCTGGACTCGAGTGCTTGATCTGACAATTGCTGTAATGTTAGGTGGGCTCCTTCCCTGGGAGACTATGAGAGAAGCAGCTTCTCCTCATTCTTCACAAGTGTGAGAACAGGAAAGTCATCTTCTTGCTCCATAGGAAACTACTCAAGGACGGTATTAACTGTCTGTCTGCAACGCCATCTCTGAAGAATACTCGCAGAAGAATAGAAAGGATAGAAGAGGTCCTGACACCTGATCTCAGTTGAAACCCTCAGATACTTAAACCAACTGGATACTGCTGGAAAAGCCACATATTCCTTCCTAACTTCTGCTGGAACATTCTCATTCCTCAAACAACCCACAGGATAGTGTGGGTGGTCTGTCAGCTGGGCTTCTCAACACCTGAGGTAGGGACTTTGTCTCCCTTTGAAGCAAATGGGTAGCCTCTAGTAATGCTGAGTTGAGAAATAGGGTCCAAGTCAGATCCCAAGAATATATACTACTCTGTCTGGCAGACACTCTTAGTATTTTGGATTTAAGTCCCATCTCAATCCTGCTGTATTCTTGGTTTTCCAAACATGAAAACAACACCACAAAAAACCTCATTAGGACTAATAAAAAGTTTGTGCTACAGCTCAGGCCTATATATTGGTATAAGTCTCTGTACGTGCCTTTAGAACTTGTGGGATGCTAGCTTTTGACAAGGTGTTTTTGCACCTATTTTAGGATATGACCCCAACAGGCCATCAAGAACAGATTATATGCCTGTGATACGATCTGATACCTTTTTACCATTCAAATATTGTTGCCCCAGAAAAGCCCAATGGAAACCAATGAAATGTCAAATATAACTCGTGTTATGGGGAAATGATTTCCAGAAAGGTTCTTCTGTAAATCGAACTCTTTAAGCACTTATTCAGAGTTGGCTTTATCTGATAATCACTTCTGTCATTCTCAAGCGCCTTTCACTACTCCCTTCTCCCTGGCATTGGGATCACACACAAAAAGCAGCATTCCGGAAGGGAGCTCTTTCTTCCCATCCCTGTGTCCCTTCAACGCAGCATGGAGGTTCTGGTTCCACAAGAGGGAGAATGGGGACCTGCAGCAGAAGAGTTTTGGTAGGATTACTGAGCCTGATTACAACATACAATATGTGTCTTTTTTTTTCACACGTCTTTCATTATTTCTCCCAGACACAAACACCCTGATCTTCCTAGGTAGTGCCTCATCTGTTATTCTATATTTGAGTCCTCCTAGACCTACATCTTATCATAACTTTCCAAACAAACACTTGTCTTTGCATTGATCCTTGCATTAGTCAAGGGTCTTCAGAGAAACAAAACTAAATACATAAATAGATAAAATTTATGGAGAGAGAAAGTGGGAGAGGTTTGTTTTAAAGAATTGGCTCATAATTGCAGGGGCTAGCAAGTCTAAAGCCTGTAGATCAAGCAACAGGCTATAAACTCTCAGTTTTGAGTTGAAATACCCAGGCCAGGCAGCAGCTAGGAACTCTAGCAGGATATCTATGTCGTACTCTTGAGCCCAAGTTCCTTTTCCTCTTGGAAATCTCACTTACATTGTTAAGGATAATCAGTTCCTTTACGTAAGGTCAACTGATTGCAAATGTTAATCATCAACAAAATACATTCACAGGCACAAACAACTGGACAGCATGTTGTTGTTGTTGTTATGTGCCGTCAAGTCAGACTCGACTCATAGCAACCCTTCCTTAGGTTTCCAAGGCGGTATCACTATGGAAATAGATTGCCCAACCTTCCTTCCGAGGAGTGGCTGCTGGGTTTGAACCACCAGCCTTCTGGTTAGCAGTCAAATGCTTTAGCCACTACGCCACCAGAGCTCCTGGGCACTACGCTACCAGAGCATAACCTAGTAAATTTGACACATTAAATTAATCATCAATACCTTAATGGTTTATCTCTAAAAGCAACACCACCTTAAATACACCACATCCTAGCATCAAACAGTCCAGGCTCCCTTCTATCTCAGGCTAATTGGTAGAAAGTGGGACTGCACAAGAGAGACAAGTAAGGTTGGCACACTTAAGTTCTTCTGATGAGACTTATGCTTACACTCTTGAGTTCTGCAACCAAATGTGGAAATAAACTACATGGGGAGAAAAAGTAAAAGTGCTTTTTTTGAAATCAAATATTTGTATCTGTTTTGGAATTTCATTTTAAAAATGTATGTGTGTAGCTACAAAGCTAACTGAATATTTAAATCATTACCAGAAATTAAATTAAAACATATACAGGTAGTCTTTGCCTTATGACACATTTGAGTTACAACAAACTGTGCTCATAACCATCCTTTTTTTCTTACATCTTATTGTTAGTAATATGTGCTACATACAGTGTTGCAGCAAGTAATTTGTTATAATTTTCATGCCAACCCTCAAAGACAAATAAAGATTGGATTTATAAAGATGCTGATAATAGAAGGCAGTAATAGTGTGTGTGTGTGTGTATGTGTGTGTGAAAGGTATTTGACTTATATCAGAACAAACTTAAGATGGAGTCAGAACAGAAGCCTGCTCTAAGTCAGCTGTACAAGAAAAATCAAGAATGTGGGTATCATGAGATTATTTAATGTTTCTGGAAAGATGTACGAATAATATTTTCATGTAGGGATCTCTTAATGTTTAGCTAATACTATGATGCCTATTATTCATTTAGATGATTCTTTCATATAATTAAAAGTGTCAGAAATCAGAAGGTAAATTCAGATACTAGTGAGAAAGTTTTCACTTCTTTGGATTTATGTTGACTATCTCTTAGGCGCCTCTGATGTTGGAAAGCTAGGAACACATTTAAGCAGAAATTCATGGGGAATTCATCCAGTTCTAGGTAACCAAAGAAACCACACAGAATGGAGCTCTGGAACTCCACTTTGGGAAGTGGCTTCATTTTGATGGGCATTCTGAATGACAGTGAGTCTCCTGAGCTGCTCTGTGCCACAATAACAGTACTATATATTTTGGCTTTGACCAGTAATGGCCTGCTGCTCCTGGTCATCACAATGGATGCCCGACTCCTTGTGCCGATGTATCTCCTGCTCAGACAGCTCTCACTCATGGATCTCCTCTTCACATCTGTTGTCACTCCCAAGGCACTTGTGGATTTTCTGCGCCAAGAAAACACCATCTCTTTTGGAGGTTGTGCTCTTCAGATGTTCCTGGCACTGACATTGGGTGGTGCAGAGGACCTCTTGCTGGCCTTTATGGCCTATGACAGGTATGTGGCCATTTGCCATCCTCTGAACTACATGGTCCTCATGAGTCCGAAGTTCTGCTGGCTCATGGTGGCAATCTCCTGGATCCTGGCATCCCTGAGTGCTCTAGTATATACTGTTTATACCATGCACTATCCCTTCTGCAAAGCCCAGATAATCAGGCACCTGCTGTGTGAGATCCCACCTTTGCTGAAGTTGGCCTGTGCTGATACTGCCAGATATGAGCTCATGGTATATGTGATGGGTGTGACCTTCCTGATGCCCCCTCTTGCTGCTATCCTTGCCTCCTACTCACTAATTCTTTTTACTGTGCTCCACATGCCCTCAAAGGAGGGGAGGAAGAAAGCCTTTGTCACATGCTCTTCCCACTTAACTGTGGTTGGGATGTTCTATGGAGCTGCTACATTCATGTACATCTTGCCCAATTCCTTCCACAACCCCAAGCAGGACAATATCATCTCCATTTTCTACACAATAGTCACCCCAGCCCTAAACCCACTCATCTACAGCCTGAGGAATAAGGAGGTCATGGGGGCCCTGAGAAGGGTCCTGGGAAAATACATGTAGGGGGCATACTCTACCCTCTAAGGAGGACTCATGGGTTGCCTTTTACCCTTTCTTCTCCAAGATTAGAGGATTTCTACTATGAATAATGTACTCATGGTAAAACCACTATAGTGCAGAGTATATCTTTTTATGTAGAAGAGTGAAGAAATATGAATATAACTGAACCTGGTAAATGGTCTTTTAAATCTTCTCTCCATTAAGTAATTTATAAGTCATGATTCATACTCTATTTAAAATTTACTCTTTTTTTCCTAGGTAGAATCTGGTTAAAGGAGCTCTGGTGGTGCTGTGGTTAAAGCATTGTCCTACTGACCAATGAACAAACCAAAACCAAACTCACTACCATGGAGTTATCTCCAATTCGTAATGACCCCTCCTTGGGTTTCCAAGGCAGTATCTCTA